GAAAAGTAATCTCACTCTTTTACCCTGAAGATGGAGATAGGATAATGGTGTCAGGCACCGGTATCTACACGGCGTCATATCTCAGAAAACCGTAATTATCACAATGAGAACTCAGATCTCGCATATTACGAGATAACCTCATCTGAAGGAACTAGCTGCAAATGAAACGTTTGAAAATGTCGGGTTGTCAACTGATATATGATTATGGAAGTGATACCACGAACTCCATTTATTTTGTAGTCAAAGAAAGATTATGCAATGAAACTTGATATGATACACGCGTAAAATTTATAAAATAATGGGGATTTGAGCGGGTTTGCGTGAGTTTGAAGGGTATGTGATGAGAGTGTAAGTTCCTGGAACTAAGCAGATATCTCAGATATGTGTAGAGGCGGTATGCTATTAGGCAAACATCAAAACGAAAGTAAAATGACAGTCATATGGAATTTATTGCCTATAATTTGTTATATTGGCACTGAGGTTTCGGAGGAACCTGGTGTCTCGATCTTCAAGGTAGAGAAATTTGGACCGTTGCATAAATTTTCCTCCGTATGAAGGATAATTACACGTAATTTACGTTCTCACGGCTGTAAATATTAAAACTGCTTGCTTTTAGGATGTGATCTATCCTGACAATGGGGGCAGCAGGTTCCTCAGAAACATTAGAAATCTACCAGACTGTACGATGTTACATTTCACGATACCGCGTTTCTCGAAATACATTTAGTAATATTATCGATGCTGTTAGTAAACTATAATTTTTTTTTTTAAAAGAATAAGTAATTGAATATTTTGGGGGGTACACATTTCAAAATTAAAGCAAATTATTTAGAGGGCAAGAGGCACAGGTTTTACGGATCACTCATGTATACAGATCTATGGATCCATGCGCACAAATATTTAATGATGCGCAAACATGTAACAATAAATCATATTTGAAAATTCGAAAGTGAAAATTACCCAAAATGTTTTTCTGCTGTTAAACAGCACGTAAGTACGCACTTTGTGGGTTTCTAACGACCACCAGTAGACCAGCTTTCATCTTTTATGGAACGAATGAATTGCAATTCCTTTTTTATCTTGATATTTCTACGTATTTTATTATGTGAAATGTAAAAAAAAATTACTGAATAGCAAAGTGAACTTGGATGCCATGTTGCCACTTTCCCAGTAGGACTTCTGTGTTTCTTTTCATCTTTTGAACAATAGTGGGGAACCCCCACCCCAACAACTCTGTGGTTCCTATAGTAACGAGAAGAAATATGCAGGTTGTGATGAACACGTGTGTGTGTGAAACCCACTCGAATAAAAGTTGGGTACGTATTTCAAAGCCACATGTATAAATGCAGCTAATAACGAAGGAATAAAGGGCAGAGATACGCACAAAGTGAAAACGGCTGAAAAATGTGGTCATGGGAACATTTGATAGGATCCCACTTCAACATAGATATATTTATTTACTATCTTTTGTGATTATGATAGCAATGAACCAAGTTAAGTCTAACTCATGGTGCCTGCCATTATCTGTGTTCCTCATATGCTACACTCAGAGGTGGCGTTGGTTACGGATAGGAGCAGAAGATGACCATAATATCACGTATTGCAATATTCACCTTTGTCAAAGACATTTATTGTAGGTGACAGCACGGATAATTTCATATAATTATTAGCCTATTAAATTTAGTATTTTAGTATCTTAATATTGAGTACTTCGGGAACTGTTCGAGTTACGAAGTTTAGGTCTTTTTGAAGAGGTTTTCTTTAACAACTTCTTGTTGAAACATTAATGAGTTTGTACTGATGTGTATATATGTATACGCTAGCATTCCTGTGCACAAAGATCCCCGCGTGGATTCAGTTTCGTAGCCCTGTGAGTTGTAGAAGGCGACGAAAATGGAATTTGGTGCTTGGGGGTATAACCGGGCCACACTGTTCCTGGGGAATATAAATATGGGAACCTGGCCCTCCAGGTTGGGGGAGTCTGGAATCTGAGACAGTAAAATATGGTCATGAGTCAAGGTTGATTCGGACCCGAGAATGACTGCGCTGACGAGGCCCAGCAGCAGTTGTAAACGGCAGACCCGTCCTCTCGTGAGAGAGGACACCCCACATCAACAAACCCGGAACTGTCTGACAGTAATAAAAATCTGGTTGTAAGCCCCAGATGGGTGCTTTATTCCAAGACAGACTGGGCGACTTACCTTCGATCGTAAAATAAATTTGACTTTGTTCAGAATAATCAGCAGTGCGATTTCCGAAGACATTTTTGCTGTTCCTGGTGATTACTCATATATTTTTTTCCCTTGGCACTACAGCCCCAGTGGACATAGGCCTACCTCCATGAACTTCTCCGTTCACTTCGGTTTTTCTAGATCTTACACATTCGGTACGATTCCTTGGGCGGGTGATCATCTCGTCGCAAGGCCTCTACCTGTACACAAACACAGAAAAGCGCACACACAGAAACTAAACATCCATGCCCTGAGTGGGATTCGAACCCACGATCCCGGTTTCCAAGCGAGCGAAGACAGTACATGCCTTAGGCCGCTCGGCTGCCCTGACCAGCGATTACTCGTATTACCTTATTAATTTATTTATCTATTTTTATATATCTCTTTCGCCTCTTTATCTGGTTACCTTCCCCTCCCTTTATTCTTTCAGTCTCTTATCCGACCTTATCCTATCCCTTCCTTCCTTCTTCCGTTTCTTTCAACGTAAAGCAGTGCCCTCATTATCTTTTTCTGAACCTTTTATCCATTTCTTACCTTAATATTATTCCGTCTTATCTCGAGCACATTCCTCCGAAACTTCGGTAAACTTGTACCATACTACGTGGCCTCATATCACAAAAGATATCGTTGGGTGCCTTGATCTTCCTGTTTCTAGCGTTGAAATGTCTCGACTTGAAATATCTGACATTTTTACGACGTTTGAACACCTTGTAGTCATGCGAGTTAATTAGCTATCATCCTTTGCTTTCTTATCCATACCGCAGCTCCGTCTGTTGTCTCCAATGACACCCTCCACCGCATCGGGGGGGGGCGCTCAACCTAGCTCGCGCTCCCACAGCAAAAGTCAGGCGCCTGAACATCAAAGAGTCCTAATCGCTTCTAACAACAGATCGCATTAGCCTGAGGCTCAGAGCGCAATACTGCTGCTTCCAACTACGCACTAATTAACTCCTTCACCTATCCTCTTCTTAAATACAAGGCTCTATTACAGATTATTTCACGCAGTTTCTATTACTTTGTTTATGCTAAATGTTCTACAAGGTGTCTGCTTGCCTTCCATGAACTTACATTAGACTAGACTCACAAATTCGTGTACACTTCCCTTCTATGCGCGAGATGTTTCGCTTCAAACCACTGACCCTGCTTCTTTGCATTCGTTTCTCTTGTTAAATACAGGGTGTCCACAGAAGAATCATGCACATAAAATCCATTGTCTAAAAATTCTTTCGACCCATCACAGTGGCCGAGCGGTCTAAGGCATGAAGTGTCTTCGGCCGCTCGAACCATGGGATCGTGGGTTCGAATCCCACTCAAGGCGTGGATATCTGTATCTGTGGTGTTTGTGTTGTTCTATATGTAGTTAGCAGCCTTGCGACGGGCTGATCTCCCCTCCAAGGAGTCGTACCGATTGTGTATAGGATTAAGAAATTGAAAAAGCAGCCAAGGCCTAACAGAAGGAATGCAGAGCCATAGATAGAATAATTCTTTTATTTATCCCTTGTAAGAGTTGCTAAGGAATGGACTTTTAGGAATTCTTTGTGGAGGAATGTTCATACAAAATTACTTCCTTAATAATTTTTACTAAGTTCTCCTTTAGTATCAAAATTAGGAAATGAATTTGATCGAATCCCTTGTAGACGACTTTTGACTTCATGGGAGACGCATAATGTTTGAAGCTGAGCTTCAGGAAAGTATTCGCCCCCGAGACGAAGCAGACACACAAGTCCTTTCAAACAAAATATTTCGCTAAAGTCACTGATGTTATTTGAAGATAGTCTTCTGGAACATGGAGCCATGTAATCTGGCATAAATGTCCGAATGTTTCTCAGGAATTTAGTGCCTCCATCTTCTGTTTAATATGAAGCAAAATAGGACCAATGAGATCAAAGTTCTCCCGGTGGTGAATGTGAAGATTATCGTCATATCATATGTGACGACGTGTAGTTTGTGTTCGTAGTTTACGTGCGGTGCTCACTAATTCAGACCGTATGGCGTTGAAGGGAATGCCCTTTGCCTCATTTTGTGAATTATTTAGGCATTTGCCTAAGAGGACAGGAAAACCACGAAATACCGCACTAAGAACAGTCGTTATCTCTGCCGAGATTCGAAAGAGGTACCTCGCGAGAAGAGGTCATATAGGATATCGCTCGAGGTCATGTTCTCGGTGTGACGCCGTAGAGTCCGGTAGAAAGATAGCAACTTTTCGGAGGAACCCACTCTCTCAATTTTAGGGCACCATGAATGTCGGAACCTTTTTATCAGACTACACGGTGGCACATCCCAGAAGGCAGTAAAAATAAAGTAAAGGCATCCCTGTACCAGGCCGTGGAGGCCCATCGGGTTGAGAGATGTTGAGGTTCCCACATTATCTAGACAGTCAGCTCATATGTCAGCAACGTTGTCAGCCCTAACGCGCCGGCCGCGCTTTACCCCCAAGAACATTCCAAGAATATTCCTGGTACTCATTTCTGTTAGAGGTTGAGTCGACTCCAGGGCCATAGTGCGGCTGGAAGGATTAGGTTAATTGAAAAAAAAAATCCAATGACCTCATCGGGACTTGAACCCGCGACCTTCCGACTTGTTTCATAGTACCTCAACTAACTACGCTACCTCATTCCCCCTCCAAGAAGGCAGTAGTCTTCATATTGGCCCTCTTGAAGTACTAAAATCTTACTGATAATAAGAAGGAAAGTCAGTAAATAAGTCACAAATGGATATAAAACGTAAAACATGTGGTATTCAAATTTTGGAAAACATTTATTTCTCGACATATCCTCCACCAACATTGATACATATTTTTTTTTTCTATTTAAGCATCCTGTTGCATTACTATATTCAACCTTCTTTACGTACATGTTTCCGTCATAATGCAACAATTTGTTTCAACATTCACATTTGCTTTCGCTATTAACACAACGTGTTTCGGCACCAAACGTCCATCCTCACGATGGACAATACTCAGTTTGGCATAATGGGACACCTGAGGATGGCCGTTCGGGGCCGAACATGTTATGTTAATAGCGAAAGAAGATTCGAATGAAGAAATGAATAGCTGCATTATTGACGGAGAATTATGTATAAATAAGTTTGAATATTGATACAATTATCCCATTGCGTCGAAACCCGCAGCACAGAAGTATTCTGACTGTTGTCTCATCAACTTCCGCACCTTCGTTTCAACCTCTTCATCAGCGGAACATAGGAGATCAAACTAGAGGCCACGTCCAGGCTGTAAGGTGGATGTTCAAGAAGTTCCCGCTGTTGTTCTTGAATCCTCTGCTGGGTTGCTCGGTCTGTATTGGGTCTGGAGTTCTCACTGACTGTGCTGCTACCTAGTGATACACACAGAAAACCTATTACGTCCATTACAGCAGTTTTACTTCCATCTGTGACTTATTTACTGGCTCTTCCTCGTATGTGTGTAAATTTGTTTGACGTTTCAGATGATCAGTGAATGAGACGCGGTCCTCCCCCTCTCACTAATTCATAATACTAACAGTTTGTGAGTATTGAACGAAATAAATTACAAATTTGTCATGATACGCTCTACAACAATAAACTTTTGTGGGCAGAAAATGAACAGCAAAGTCATTGATGTATGCGAAATGGAAAGCAAGGCAGGACTGTAACGCGTGCAGCCGACCGTTGCTGTCAGATTGCATTATGGGTCTGCCTTGCCACTGGGCAGCAGGTATGCAATGTATGCGCTGTTACGCCTACAGGAATCCACGTAAATTAATATTCGTTATTAAAGTCTGATTGCGACGATCTATTGCTCCTGCATTCATGATTTGTTTAGCGATGACGTTACCGATAATAATTAAGCGATTCGTTATACTTACTGGGCCCATATACTTATGTATTTAATCCGTTCCTCATATTCCTCTACGGTGTCGAGGTTGTTTTTCATTTGATCATTTTACAGATGGTAGGATTCCTTGGACGAGTGATCAGCTCGTCACAAGGCCTCCACCTAAACATAGGACAACACACAGAATAAATGCATACATACCAACCATCCATGCCTTGTGTGGGATTCGAACCCATGATCCCGGCTTCAGAGCGAGCGAAGACAGTACATGTCTTAGACCGCTCGGCTACCGTGACCGGCGTTGGTCCCATATAAACGCTATGTATATTTTTAAGTTTTCTGTCTGCTGTGATATAACGCCGTGTAGACCGTTGAAAGGCAATCGATGCTTCGGAACTCTGTTTGTTACCTGCTTCAGCCTGGTTTCTCGTTTGGTTTATTCTTCGACCCTGAAGATTGAGGTGATATGTTCCTCCAAATCGTCTGTTCATTTTTAAGGGACTATACGGGTTTTATATACCAGAAGACGGAAATCTTCATTGTCCAAATTAATTTTTTTGCAGCAAGTTTACAGGCAGAGCGGTGAGACTTGAATACAACATTCGTCACGTCATTGCTGGAGTATCCTGTCTCGTATTGACGGAAACGAGGCAATGATTTTTTCTGGTTCTCCGTCTCCACGGACTTGCATAGGTTTGCCTTACTTGTAAGTGGGAGACTTCAGAATGCGTTTTGTGCTAAATCACATTTAAACTGCAGTTGATTCCTTACCGTCGGGCTCTTGTGAACACTGTAATGAACATTGAGGTTTAATAGAATGTTGTGAAATTCTTGAGTGGCTTAGCGACTTACGGCTTCTCAAGAAGGACTCGGCTCCATGGAGTTAGTTAGTTAGTTACTTAATTGATTCCCTAACTTCAAAATCTATTTATCTATTTCTCTACAACCCTTTGTTGGACCTTGGCCACTTTTTTCATTTTCTTGATCTTTTACACACTTGGTAGGACTCCTTGGACGGGGATCAGCCCTTCGCATGGTTGCTAATTACACACAGAACAGCACAAACACCGAATAAACGTACACAGACATCCATGCCTTGAATGGGATTTGAACCCACGACCCCAGTGTTTGAGGGGGATGGAGACAGTTCATGTCTTAGACCGTGCGGCCAATATGATGGGTAAATTCGAGCCCACTTTTCCGAAAATTGGTATTGATAGACGTGGTATACTCGTACATAGCAATACTGAGGTGACAACCTGTCGAGTTCCATGTGGCACCATCTTCAGAATCTCTAGGGCATTCAGATGTAACGAAACGGCCACATAGAAGCGGAGCCTGCACGCCCTGTGATACGACCCTAGCAGTGGTCAAGGGAGACGCACCTTCACCACTGTCGGCTGCGAACATTCCGCCCTCTACATACGGTGTAATCCGGTGTACAAAAGCCCGCGTAGTTCGTGAAGCGCTGAACGGCTTCTCGTGAAGAAGCCATTCCTGCCGAAACACGTTTAACAATGCGTCCACGTGGTTGTGGTCCTGTCCACCTCTCCTGTTGGTCCAGACTGGCCTTTATCTGCTCCCCGTTCCCCATGGATCAGAGTGACCATCTTTCTTGCAACCTGTATCTATAACCCGACCTATTCCTCGTCCTGCAAACTTCCGTCATGATGATGGAGGTGGAATGTTGCTCCGAAACGTTGGTGTCCAACTTCACGACCACNATAGATTTTTTCAATTTACCTAATCCTTCCAGCCGCAGTATGGCCCTGGGGTCGACTCAGCCTCCAACAGAAATGAGTACCAGGAATATTCTTTGGGGGTAAAGCGCAGCCGGCGCGTAAGACTGACAACCTTACCGCCATCTGTGAGCTGGTTGTCTAGAAAATGTGGGAGCCTCAACATCTCACAACCCTATGGGCCTCCACGGCCTGTTACAGGGATAGCTTTACTTACTTACTTACTTATCACTATGTAATTACAGGTATTTACTCTGCCGTGTTCATAATTGGCTTTGTAGCTGTTGAGTCGGTACAAAAATAATAAAGAAGTGAATTAGTATAGCTTCAATTTTTAATGGAATTATTGTTATTGTTATTATATAAATTGCCTTGTTTGTTTTATATGTTTTATTGATGTTTTTCTTCTTTATTCGTGACCACTTCGTGCTTGGCCCCTGGCTGTGAAGTTCGCACGTAAGTAAATAAGCATCGAACTGTATCCAGCACGTGCAATGACATTAACATTATAAGATTCCAGTAAACTTGAAAATAGAAGAAATCTAAAAGTTTATGTTACAGTCGGGTGTATTAGTTCGAGTTCTCTCGCAATTATTATTTGTTCCTGGATTGTTTACAATTAACAACCCCCTATTTCAGACGAAATCGCCCTCACGATTATTTTTTTATGTTTTTCTTCCCCTGAATTAAGTGCATTACCACTTTGTGCTGTAAACAATGCCGTTCGGTCCAAACTTCAGTCAGGTGTACCAAAACTGCTTAAAGTATAAGTCAAAACTATATTTTTGCCAGGAACACGCAATTTCTTTGCATAATTATAGTTGGCCGAAGCACTATGCTATAAGCCTAAAAGTCGCGGGTTCGATTCCTGATAAGGTAATTGGATTTTTCTATTTACCTAATCCTTCCAGCCGCACTATGGCCCTCGAGTCGACTCAGCCTGTACCAGAAACGAGTACCAAAAAGGTGGGGGGGNGGTTAGAGGGCGGCCGGCGCGTAATGTTTACCTCACCGCCATCTATGAACCGATTGCCTAGAAAATGTGGGAGCCTCTCGACTTCCACGGCCTGTTACAGGTATAGCTTTAACTTCAGTTTATAGAATTCTAGTTAAGCGTTATTTTCCTTGTGCATATTTATTATATTTTTCTTTTGTTTGTTTCCGAATGTTTTGTATTTGTTATGCATGTGTTTATAGCAGACTACTCTTGTGGCAGGTAACTCTAATAAGTGGATTGGTTAGAATTGTTATCTTATCTGTAATTGGTCACCAGGCTGTTGAGTCAGCATGTAAATAAATCAAAAACTGAATTGAACCATAATTTTTATTATTGCCACTTACTCGCTCTTCTGAAATGTTAGTGAGACGTATTTATACTTTATGTTTATCCGCAAGGAAATTTTATTCTTGGATTGCCTGTCCCCGTACATAAATTAAGGCCTTACATTAAAAAAACGTAGTTGTACAACCTCAGTCACACTACGTCATTTTGGAGCTGTTGGTGGCAAGGAAATTTAAATTACAAATTTGTTGTCAATTCCAAGGGTGTGTTTTCATGTCAAGTGCTGCTGAATTCCGTTCATTGGTACTAATCTTATTAAATGGATAGTTTTACGCAAGCGCAAAAGGAGGTGCCACTTCTCTTTAAAAAGTATGCAAAGTGGTTTATGATACTCGCGTAAGATTGGTGATGCTGAAAACATCATCGAACCTCCAATTCGGGCTGGGAAGGCTGCGAGCTGTCCCGCTATGTCCCCCTCTCCCCAAACACAATTTTATGCATTCATTGCTTTAGGCTTCTGTGTTTAATGGGTTTTGTGACCTAGCACAACAAAACATTTCCAGCAATAACGCAGCCCGCGTATTTGTAATTTGTTTCCAGAAGTTTAATTTGGTGCAGTCCGTTCACATTTATTAATTAAATGGCCAGGGGATGTGACCGGGTCTTGTCCTCCTATTCCAGTGTTAATAAAATTATCTGTAAATTACAAGGTTACATTTACTATTATTTCAATACAGCCTTATAATTTATTAGGGGTAATTATTATAATTATTTCGTTCTACGTAACTTTCTGAAATTATTATGGCGTATATGCTCAAAGTAAGAACTGTGAAGCCAGAGAAACAGCCGTTGCTAGGTAATGCCCGCACACAACAGTAGAGGAACTGTCACGAAACGAGATGTGACGCGTACAAACGTTTCTACGGAAAACTGATTAAACACATTTCCGGGGAAACGAATACACCCTACAATCTAATATCTGTGTTTTCTGTGCGGTCCGTGCCGAAGGGTTTTAGAAAGGACAAAGAAGATCGTTTAAGTTTGTTCAGTTTCGAGACGCCAGCCTGCCAGGATATGAGCTGGAAACAGAGGGATTGAGGCCTTAGAATTATTGAGTAGAGTTCAGTGGAATTGAAAGTCTGGTTGCGAAGAGAAGACTTACGTGTGCTGTAATACAATGATGTTTGGATTGTGTAATTCAGAGAGACTGTTATAGTTCCTGTGTTAAAATCCGTTGCTAGGAAATGGCTAGTGGAGACCAATATACTATGGCCACTAGTGTATGTAAGAGTGAATTGTACAGTATGGGAATATCGATAATCTTACAGTTGTTGTTGTTGTTGTTGTTGTTGTGGGTTTCCCCATGCACTTAGACCAGATATTGGTCCTTTGTGCGTCCCCCTGTGATATTCTACCAGTCTCTATTCCCTACCGGTAATGGTGCGTGCCATCAGTCCCGACTCAGCCAGCGAGTTCGGCCTCTACTGGCTCAGCGGTATCTCGATGCTTCCCCCATCTATCAGAGGCGTTAGGACTACTGTCCCCTTGGGACATGAGGTTCTTTTATGTGCCGTAAAGCTACGACACGGGACCCACGGCTTAAAGTCCCTCCCGGAGGACTTGTTCCCTGAATTTTTCCGCCCTTAAAAATTTCACGACCTCCGCAGGGTTTCAACCCACGTACCTTGAGTCACGAGATGGGGACGTTACCCCTAGACTACAGAGGCCGCTTAATCTTACAGTTACTTGTAGTACGACCTGTAAGTCGTCATTAAATCAAATACCCAATCCAAACCCCATCTATAGTCACTCCTGGGCGTGGAATTATTATATAAATACAGCGAAAATTACATTCTGCGCCTAGCTCCGAGATCGACGAGCAAAGAGAATAACTGCATGATGGGTTTCAAGTTCTGACGGCTGAGCATGAAAAGTAATGTCTTGCGGGTTGTAAAGCCGTGTACTTCGATAGATCGATTGACGTTTCACAGGAACTATTCGTCTTCATCTTCATAGTTCAAAGGGGCACTATGTTACAAGCCTGAAGGTCGTGGGTTTGATTCATGATGAGGTCATTGGATTTTTCAATTGATCTAATCCTCCCAGCCACACTATGACCTTCTGGTCGACTAAACCTCTAACAGAAATGAGTACCAGGAATGTTACTTGAGGTGAAGGGCTGCCGGTGTGTAAGCGTGACAACGTCACCGTCATCTGTGAGCCAACTGGCTAGAGAAAATGTGGCAGCCTCGACGTCTCACAACCCTATGGGCCTCCACAGCCTGTTACAGGGATAGCTGTACCTTCTTTTACCTTACATTACCTTCATAGTCCCAAAGTATCCCAAGAAAAAAAATCCAGCAGGAATCAGGATTCTTGCCGAACATGGACAGTTTTTACCCAACTACACGATGTCAGAACGCAGAAGATCATGACTTGATTTGCGTGAACATTTTCTTGCGGTGGTCATAGACTCCTGGTGTGCTGCGTTGTCACTCCAAAATATCATGCTTTTCGGAGTAATAAATGTAGTTTCATACAAAAATAACATTACAGAAATATTTATCATGGAAACAAGTTCAGCCTATCGGGAATATCACAATTTCTCATCGCGTGGAAATATTTGTATTCCGATTTGAATTCGACTGTTTATGTCCTCTTGTTCCCTCTGCATTTCAAGCTTTTGTTTTCCCTTAAGTCATCATACGTAGCCAATTTCTGACTTCAGGCTTCATTCTTTGAGTTAAAGTTCTCATAACTGTGACTATCTTCTAGGATGTGTTACCATGTAATCCGGTTCAACGTTTCGGAGAAAAGTTACGACTCTGTCTTCAGGGCCGAAAAGTAAGACAGGCAGTCAAAAAAAGCAAGACGTAGACAACAAATAGAGGGTTGCTTAGCTTACTGCTCGACCTTAAAGACGGATGTAGAACCTTCTGCCGAAACGTCGACGAACTTCTGCAGGACTACACGCTTTCGTTTCCAAAGACAGTAATCTCTCTTCTGTCACAAGATATTGAACCAACTGAGGGGGTTTATACAGATGTATTTTCTTAATAATAAGCCATCCAGAGATGGAGATGAGCTCCGTCTAATTGACTGAACAGACTGGGTTTCGTATTTTACCTGAGAGCGACAGGAGAGCCATCTGCCGAAAAGTTGTGTTCTGTACCCAAAGCAGCTGATGGAAAATACCCGAATTATGTCGGTGTAACACTCCTTCCTCACAGTTTTAGACTTTTTATAGATTGAATGCTTTTGTATATACTCGTAAAATCCTATGGAAACTGCATGATCCTTTGTGGTTGGTAGTAGCAGAGAAACCTATAATAAAAAATGGGAATACAATTATTAATAACTCCATTAACATAAATGTAAAAGTTAAATAGTTCCGTCAGTTATTACCAGTCACACTGGACGGAACTATTTAACCTTTTCATAATATTAGTGTGACGGACCAGAGTGAAACAAATCAAATCCATTAACATAAATTAAAGTATATAGCCTTTACATATTATAGCGTGTAGACCTTTTGCTAGGTAACAGCTTCGAAACAACGAACATTGCTGGGCAGCAGATTCTTGATAAGTAACAATTTAACCGCAACAAATGAAAAAAGCAACAGAAGAACGGTGTTTTCTGTGCGATCCGTGCTGAGATGTTATAATCGGAACAGTTTGGAGCAACCTAGTCAGTTGCAAGAGAGAATTATAAGGGAGTCTATGAAGAGATGACTTAGTCCGTGCAGTTAAGAGTCAGCGGACAACGAAGTGAATGCGGATGCTATAGCATCTCCACTGTTAGAAGCTGTTACCAGGGAACGACACAGCAGGCTGGAAAGTCAGCGTATGCTCTAGTGAACTGTAAAGTGTGGACATTAGCGATGGCGCTATAAATAAGTTTACTCAACAGTCGAGTTGTAAAGTGGTCAATAAATCCAATCTCTAATCTATAGTAACTCTATCGCTTCGCAATATATTTTTGACATTAATGTTTCGTCTGTTATCAGGTATCAAATACACAACACCTTCATAATGAAACAAACTAATATCGCACAACAGAGAAATGTAACCAATTCATATTTGTGCGTCATTGGGATAGGGAAGTTTCATACGTCGGTGCATTTTGTATATTGCACAGTGAGAGATGTCAATAAGATTCTGTAAACTAATAAAGAAATAAATATAGGTAATTCAAGTGTTTAAATATTAATTTCTGTTGATAATTACAGATAAACTTCTACATATTATGTAGCTCTTCATTTTTATAAAAAATATTGACGATTCTTGACAACTTTCTCATAAACTGATTACGTAGTGGGTTGTCATTATAAGAACGTAATGGAAAATTTAATGAACTGTACTCCCATTCTATTTTTATTGGGGTGATAGAACGGAGAACGAAAAAATATGAGGAACAAGCAAAAATATTTATTGTCTTTCTGTCATGAAAGTCACAGTGAGACATTTTGGATATCGAGTCATAGATGATGCGTCAAATGGGGATCAGAATAAGAGGACGCGAGCTGAATTGAACTGGCTCAGGATACATTTCAGTGGATCAATTTTGTTGTAACTAAAACGGAACTTCAGCTCCGGTTCCGTAACAAAACTGAAAGAGAAACTCGCGTTTTGGTGTCTCCGAGTTATGTTGTTTTATTGTGCGGTTTAGGAGCGAGATAAAATTTCGTAATATGTAAAGTGTCCGAGATACGATTTTCAGAACAGAGGATCCTGAATCCAGAAATTCTTTTGGTTCGTCCTTAGATACTATATTCTTTTCTGACCTTTGGAGTAAAGTAGTTTGGACTTCTCAACAATGTTTTACGTTTACGGCGCTTCCCGGAGAACGAATTCACCATCAGAACTGATTTGTTGTGGCATTACAGCCCGCGCCTTATGGAGATATGCAGCCGTGCCCTGCGCTAGTAAGAGAAAAGGAGAGACAAGGGAAAGTACGTTAAGAGTATGTACCTTTTATTTTTGGCTTCAGATCTCTTTTATGTTCCCTCCAGGATCGTTGTGGATGTCTCCAGAGGGCCGCGAGCCTCAAGCTGAAAATATACTGTTTTAACAAAATAAATTGCCTCAGTTGAGGAGTTCACAGCTACCAGGGTTGTCATCAGAATTTGTGCACTATTTATTTGTAAAACCTTACGGTCTAAGATTCATTTGGAGTAGGACACGGTTGATTAAATATAAGAGGAACAGTCAGTAAGTAGGCCACAAATGGAAGTAAAACAACTAATTGACGTAATAGGTTTTCTATCGGTATCACTAGGTAGCAGCACGGTCCAACTTCACTAGAGTCTAGGTACCCGAATGTGGTGACGGGATGGAAAAGGGGGAACATATTTTCTGGGACTCTAAACTGTACGAGGACCAACGGGCAACAATGATCGACATTTTGTCTTAGAACAAGGAAAAATAATACCCAAAGTCAGTTACAGAGCTCTTAAGGATGGAGGAATAAAGATTTATACAAGACGTCTGTTATCTGATAAACAAAATTACTGAATTTATTTAAAAAAGGGGTATTATCCCAAAATATTAATAGTATATTCTTAGAGTTAAGTTCAAAAATCATGTGATAGAATAAGATGTTTATTAGAGTGTGCTACAGAGGGCCGGATGGGCATTGCTTAGACACTTCTTTTGTATAGACATGATATAAAAAGTATGTGTAGCAGAAGCGCATGCGCATGTTCAGAGGCTGGTTTTAGTAGTCAAAATGGCGATCGTCCTTGAGGATTGTACTACCGAAAAGCAGCGTTGTGTTGTGGTTCTTTATGGGTAAAGGGGCTCAATGCAAAGGATATTCATAAAGAAATATTTACTGTTTACTGTTAGAAGTGTTTGCTGTGTAAAGCGTTTCACAGCTGGGTCGAGAAACGTGGCGAACATTTCGCTGATGGCGAAAATTTTGAAGTGGAAGCGTGGAAATGGCTGAGACAACAGCTGAGAGTTTCGACGCATAAGTAAAGCGATGGGACAAATGTATCAGTGTTAGTGGGTGATATATCGAGAAATAAATGTTTTTCCTTGCTGCCTGCTTCATACTGCTTTCTTGCTTCTCATGCTCTTTAAGCCTGAAGGTGGAGGTTATATGTTCCTCCGAAACGTCGGTCTACTTACATCGGAATGCACGGCGTTATATCCCAGAAGATATAAATCTCACCCCCCTACATGTTCCTCTTTCTTTTCTCGTCATGTATTTCCTAACCTGCTGTAGCCATCGTAATTTGTCTTTCTCCTTGGAGTTTTCATTTTATTTTCGTCTCTCTCGTCCTCCGTTCTTCAACATGCCCATTTCATCTCATTCTCTTATTTATTAATTTCACTCCCAAGGTAGGTATATTTACCTTTAGATTCTTTCTGAGTTCTTGGTCTCTCTCTTCCAGTGTTTCTTCCTATATTCCTTAAATGTTTCATCTCTCCAGCATTTATTTTTTTTTCTATTTTCTGCCTCGGTTCATGTCCATATTAACTGCTCTAATTTTTGAAGATCATAAATTATGAAGGTATTCGTTATGCAGTTTTCTCCAAACTTCTGTTCTCTCCCCGTGAATTGGGTCGAAACATCACCCTCAATACTTTGTTTATAAATAAATTCGCGTTATATTCCTCCCTTACCAATGACAGACCGAGCTTAACATTGATACAAATAATCATGAAAGAAAACCGAGGGTTTGTTACATAATGACACTCTCGGAATCAGAGGTCACGGAAGTAATGTAGTGAGACAGGAATATAAAATAACTTTTGGCTTAATTAGTGACAAATATTTGATATTTTCAATGTGCATTGCTGGAAGTGAATATAATTACCAGAAGTGGACTGATGTTAATTTTTGGGGGGGGGGGGAACCCTGAACATTGCAGCACCAGATTTAAGACTTGAGTAACATTTGTGTATAGATCTGAATTTTGTCACATATACAAATTTATAGATTTAAGAGAGCATCGCGCTCCAGTACGTGGCACTCGAACTACCGGGTTCAAAACACATCCCCTATCCAAGCTGTCCTCCCCAAAACTTCCATGGGTTTCTTCCACCCCTTGGAGTCGGAATACCTCATTCGGTACAGAGACGGGTTACGGCCTGAACAGCCAGGTTCGATCCCCGGTAGCGCAAGTTTTTTCCTTCTCCGCAGCGTCCAGACCTACTCTCCGACCCAGCCTCCTATGCAATGGGTACGGATGGTTTTTCTACAGGGGTAAACCAGCAAGGGCGTGAAGCTGACCACCTAACCTCCAACTACTGCCGAGGGCAAGAATACTTGAATCTATGCCTCCACGCATGCTCGTCACAGCGGCGGCGTGATCTAAGGCATGAACCGTCTTCGCCCGCTCGAACATTGGGATCGTGGGCTCGAAACCAATTGGAGGCATTGATGTCTGTGTGTGCGTTTATTCCGTGTCTGTTTGTTTTGTGTGTAGGTAGTAATCTTGCGACGGGCTTATCCCCCATCGAAGGAGTCCTACCGACTGCATATAGATTAGGAAATTGAAAAATTAGTCGAGGTCCACAAGGGCTTAGAACCATAGATAGATAAATACCTTCACTCCACCATACGTCTTCATGGCATGGTGCTTAACTAATTAAGCACAGGGGCAACATATTCTTCCGTCCCTTAGTACAAATGCCACAAGCATATCCTTCATTATTCTTTCACTAACAAATTTCTCTTGAAAGCTACTCAGTCTAAACTGCTGACAGTCGTGAAATGCGCCATGAATTAATAGATAAGATCAGCATAACTCTCACTTGTAAACGTCATTACACCTAGTCCACTCTTTCACTTAGTCTTCCCCCTTTCGCCGTGCGTGTCGACAGTGACATTGGTGAAAGAGTCGGAAGATAATGCAGGTCCCTGCAGTGAAGGCAGGCTAGACTTCCGGGAAGTGTTTCTATTAGATGAGCCTGAATTGCATCTTATGGGATATTTGTTGTCTCAGTTTTGATGTATTCATTACTGCGATCGCTTAATTATTTCCAAATTCTTTAAATACGCTTCAATTCCTTTAATTGAATTCTAGAATACATTAATATTTTAGTTAACTATGATGTAATTTTCTTTGAATAAGGAGGAGATCTCGACCTGGAAAAAGCACCAGTTACGCAAAATGCAATGTTTATAGATCACATTATACAAGAAAATGTATTTTGAAATCACTTGTTAGACTGTTATGTTGATAAGGAGAGGAAGTGAGGATCACCTCAAAAGCATTGCTAAAGAAGTGTCGAGCCTTAGAATTATAAACGTCATAAGTATCTGACTGTGTAGTGTGGCAAGAGAGTTACGGTTTCTCCAGTTCTGTTTGTCATGCTGGAAGAAGTGACTCTCAGTAAGGCCTCTAAGGAACTTGAGATATTCTCTTTATGACTCCGTTATAAACCAAGAGGGATGACAAAGATTAATGTGGTCACTAGTCTTATTAATAGCCGGTCACAATGGCCGCGCCGTCTAATACATGAACAGTCTTCGCCCGCTCGGACACTGGATCGTGAGTTCGAATCCCACTCGAGGCACGGATGTCTCTGTGCGTTTATTCTGTTTTTGTTGTTCAAGGTTCAAAGGGCTGCAGAGATAGAGAGAGAGAGAGACACACACACACACAAACACTTATTAAGTAGATGGGCCGGGCACGTAGCACTCGAAGAGGAAGTTAGAAATAGGTACAGATTTCAGAAAAAACTTGAAGCCAAGGCACATCTTACAGTATTCTGGCGTACGTTTTAAAACAACCATAGAATTGATCTTAGTCAAACCATATTTAAGAATGTGGATTGGATTCAACTTGCCCACGATAAGATGCTATGTTGGGATTTTGTTACTGCGGTAATGAATGTTTGGTCTTAATAAAATATGTGGTATTTCTTAACTTGAATACCAAGAAAAATTTTAATCCAATGAATTGTTAATATTGTCATCATTATCATCATCGAATGATGCTGGAAATCGAACATTTCTGTTTTTAAATTTTTGAGAGGAGTCTTCATTAGAATATATTTATTTAAAAAAAATGGAAACAGTGGCATGAGTTCCCATCAAACTGTCTGTCATTGAAGCTTTGTAGTTCACACGAAATTCGCGTGGAATCCTGTTATAGAAATGTACAAATTTCATGTGAAGGAAGTTCTATTTCACTGACTGTTAAACAAGGTTGGAAGGCATTTAGTTTGTAACGTGTATACAGAATTTCAAAACACGATCTTAACGGTTCATTAAGCTAACTTTCAGCCGGTTTACAAACCGCGATTGACTGTTTTATATATATATGAAAACATAAATTTATTGCCTCAAGTAAAGTGGATATTTTATGAATGCCTGTAGATAAAATTTGGGATTTACCGACAACTTTTAGTGATTTCCATACCGATATTGAGTTCAATTAAAAATTTGACGACGGTTTGAGCGTCGATACTAATTAACAGACAGACGGACGGACAGATGTGAATTGTGATACATTTTTTAAAAAACCTCCGATGTAACATTTTATTAAAATCAGTCGCAGCAGCTCCTGAGTGCTTAGTTGTCAGATTGGAAATCCTGACTTCATTTAGTTGCTTCGAAACCGGTACGACTTACAAAAGTAGGGACTTGAAAACTCAACCCCTTACATGTTTCGATCCCTACGGATCATCCTCAGAGGGCATAAATACTTTTTCCGGAAACTACTATTACAGTAGGTGTTAAATTGTATACATAGACATAATGTATTAAATACACAATGTACACAATGTTCAAGTTTTGACAGTCACAGCAGCCTTCCTGGTATTAAAATTTTTAAAGTTTTTTTTAAGAACTTTGTTGTTTAAGATTAAAATTTATAAACCATGCAGGTTCGTGTCAATTCTCCTATTGTCTTTCGTGGAGGTGGCTGATCTTGTGTTTCACCTGTCTATATTAAGAGAGGAGATTCTGCAAATGCAATATATTATGGGTATTGTATTAATTTCAGCGGCCCTACTATATATATATATATATATTTTAAGGATTTTGTCCTACCTTAGTATTGTCCGTGTTTGTGCATGGCTTGCTGTGTTGTTTGCACTGTTCTAGACTGTGCTGTGCCGTGTAATTTATACTTCCTGTATCTGTGACGTTGATGTGGGCGTGTTCTGATGTTGTATTATAAGGTCGAACATGTTACGTTGGCTATTACTTTCTTTTGTGTGTTTTTGTTCTTCTATCAATTTATTGAACTTATTAAAACGATATATATGGAAATCCTCTTTTATATTCATGATGCCTCCTTTTTTGGCTTTTTCAATCATTTCCATGATTACTGTCATCTGCCCGTACTGATGGTGTTTATTTAGTATGTGTTGGGCGAATGCTGATTCTTCCTTGTTTAGTCTTATGTTTCTTATGTGTTCTTTGTATGTTGTTGTTAGATTTCTACCAGTTTGGCCGATGTATACTTTTTGGCAACTTTGGCATGTTATTTTATATATCCCACTTTATTCGTATGGGTTTATTTCTCGTTTTTCATTTGTTAGTTTACCTATTGTGTTGGCTGTTTTGAAGGCTATCTTTATATTAGTGTTTTTGAATAGTTTTATGATTTTTCAAATGTAATTTCGTGTATAAGTATAAGTTACCAATTTTTGTTCTTTTTCGTCTTTATTATCCGGGTTACCCATCTTTCGCTTAAGTTTGTTATATAGGTGTGTGATGTCTTCCTTTCTATATCCATTATTTAGTGTTATATCAATAATAGCATTTAATTCTTTGTTTTTTGGCATTTTCCTCAAGGGGTAGTGTAAGAAGTCTGTGTATCCAATTTTTGTTCTGTAGGGTGGCATTATTTATTATTTATTGTTATGTCTGTCATTGTGGGTTTTCTGTATATTTCCATTTTTATTTTTCCGTGTTTATTAAATATATTTAAGTCTAGGTAAGGTATTTGGTTGTTTAATTCCTCATTTATTGTGAATTGCAGGTTTTTATGTTGTCTGTTGAAATGTTCGAGGATGCTTTGGGGGGTTATTTTTGTTTGATTATATATTATGAAGATGTCATCTACGTATCTGTTGTAGTATGTAATTTTCCCGTCTTCCAGCAGATGTTTTATTCTGCTTTGTTCCATGTCTTGTAGGAAGATTTCTGCCATTGTACTTGATAGCGGGCAGCCCATGGCTACGCCTGTTCTTGGTTTGTAATATTTTTCATTATATTGAAAATAGTTTTGATTCAATATCATTTTAAGTATGGACATAATTTCTTTTATAATGCTTTCGTCTATGTGATTGTCTTTGAGTAGTTTATTGGTTACGAGAAGTGTGTCGCTGATTGGGATATTAACGTAGAGGTCTTTAATATCCATTGTTAGTAGTTTATGATCTGGATTTAGTTTTAGTTTTCTTATGTTTTCTGCAAACTTTTTTGTTAATGGTGTTATATTCGTGTTTTAATTTTAGATAGTCGTTTAGTCTTTGATGTATGTATTTAGCTAGTTTATGTGTGGGTGCATTAGTGTTGTTTATTATCGGTCTAATTGGGGCCTCCGGTTTGTGTATTTTAATTTTTGCTTATTCCCTTTGATAGATTTAGACATTACGCTCCGGAGGGGAGCCCAAATGGTCTTAGGTCTACAAGTAAGGAGTCCGATATTTTTGTCCAGTCTTAACCAAAACTGGAATTGCCAACTAACTTTTAACAGAGTCTGCCATACCTAACGGAAAAAAAGACGCGTCCAGCGATTTAGGCGCTGATATTAGATCTCATACAGCCGGACATACATGACCTTCACGTGAGGCCTTACATTTTCTTTCACTATGTAAAAGGACCCTTAGTAACGATATTGGGGCTTGATTTTCATGTTCAGTTATTGGTAATGAAAATCCTGTAGCGGAACACGAGAATATATCTGGCTTACACTTGATCGCTGTGCCGTAACGCCGTTTATGTGGAGTAATATTTAAATCTTTATCATTCATTATTTTTAATACAACTTAATTTTATTATATGAGGATTGTTAAAGTATACAGTGTACGTTTAACGAGCCCAATTCCAAGATTCACGCCTATAAATTACTTAAACGACTGCATAATGAGGAGCTTCATAACTTGTAGTCTTCTCAAAGTATAATTACGTAGAATGATCAGATCAAGGACGATGAGGTAGGCAGGGTATGTAGCACGAATGACGGAGAAGAGGAATGCATATAGGATATTAGTGGGAGAACCAGATGGAAAGCGACCACTGGGAAGACAAAGGCATAGGTGGGTGGTCAGTATTAAAATGGATCTTAGATAGGATGGGATGGTATGGATTGGGTTGATCTGGCTCAGGATAGAGACCAGTGGAGGGCTCTTGTGAACACGGTAATGAACCTTCGGGTTCCATAAAATGTTTTCAAGTTCTTGAGTGTCTGCAGAATTGGCGTCTTCTCAAGAAGGGCTCAGCTCCACGAGTGAGTGAGCTATAAGACATTAAAACATTTATTTAATGTGAGAAGTAGTATTGTATAATTTCGAAGGTCATAATTTTAAAATAAACTGAATAATTAAGATTAAGATGAAGCCTGTCCTTATGGCAGACATTGAATTGAAATGCAGCTGTTCACTGACGGTTGAAATTTATTCAAACTGCTGATGTTTCTAACCGGAGTGTCTCTATTTTAGCATTTAAACTGTCAGTTGTATCATGCAATGTTTTTCACTGTAGTTATTTGCGTTAGTAAGCGAATTTGACACCCCTGACCTAACAATTTCTCTTCCCTGCTTGAGAATGTGATGCAGTGATGAGGTTTGGGGCCCAAACCGAAGCAAGGCGCTAAAGAAAATGTTGGAGAGTTTAACTGTGGCGAAGAATGAGAGTGGGTAAATCTGCTAATGGGACGGAACTGGCTGATTGGAGTGCTTCTGCCACCAACTTCTTCTTCTTCCTCTTCTTCCTCTCTCTCTCTCTCTTGTCTGTGTGTGCTCATATGTCTCAAGAGTCCACACAACAATGGCTGTACAACTTCACGGAACAAAACTTCCCTTTAGTGTCCCTTCAGAGGTTTGATGAGCTCACTCCCTAATGTATGCAGAGTAACACTTGTAGTGCGTACCATATATTTCGGGCTGCAAGCGGGTGCTCTGCATTTGCAAGTGGAACATATGGTGTCCGAGTTACATTAACAGTAGTGGAATCACCGTTGAAATTTAAAGGGGAAGGATTCTTGAAATAGAGAACATCTAATTATTGTCTCTTGAGCAAACGATATCCTATCAACAATTGCTGTACCTTCCAGAACAATATATTTTCTGGAATCTTCTCAGTGACCAGCCAAATTGTAATACAGAAAGTGTGGAGCTAGAATCTCTCAGTTAATGCTACGACAAGCTGCATATAGAAGCTCAAGGGATTAGGCTTCGGTTCCCGACAGGGTCACGAAATTTCTCTCTTATACAGAACATGTAGGTCTGTGATGGGGCTCTTCCAGGACCCTAGCCTTTGGATATAGAGGGCTTGTTTTCTGGTGCGTGATTGTATATGGTCGGAGGGCCGGAGGTTCCGGTTTCAGGTAAATTGCTACTGGACTTCGCCAGCACAGTCATTTTCGGTTCAGTGAGCCGCTGAACCAGTGACCATATTTTTCTCTCTCACGTCTCTGAGTCATGAGACTGGCTCAGGACCGAGAATGAGAATACAGTGAGCTTCATCTGTACTCCTCTATACGTTTTATAGAGCGACCTCGCGTTAATTACAATAATTACAATAAACGGAATTGAATGCACATCTAATTTGCTCCAGATTTTTAAACTGCCTTTGTTCTACAACACTCACCCATAAAAATTAGTAAGAAATATTATGAATAATGCCGTCTTCTGGGATGTGGCGCCGTGTAGATTTTGTGTGACCCGACGTTTCGGAGGAACATATTGCCTCCATCTTCAGGGTAGAAAAAATTGTGAGCGAGGAACCAGCGTGAGCAGTGGCTGCAGACTCTGCGGCACGTTGCGCGTACAAGCCATATTGTTGCGACTATGACAAACTCCTCGGTCAAGCAACTACATGATCTATGCAGGCCACCTGGTATTACCTGCTAATAAAACTATAATTTTGCTTGCGGTTTTGTATGGGTGTGAGACTTGGTCTCCGACATTAAGGGAAGAACATAGACAGAGGTTGTTGAGGAGAATATTTGGACCGAAGAGGAATGAAGTGACAGGAGGCTGGACAAAACTGCATAATGAGGAGCTTCATAATTTGTACTCTTCTCCAGTCAAGGAGGATTAGACGGGCTGGGTATGCAGTACGCATACCGAGGAAGGGAATGCATATAGGATTGTGATAGGAAAATTAATAGGAAAGAGAACACTAGGAAGACCAAGACATAGGTAGGAGGATAATCTTAAAATAGATGTTTGAGAGATAGGGTAGAGTGGTATGGAATGGATTGATCGGGCTCAGGATAGGGACTAGTGGAGGGCTTTTTTGAACACGGTATTGAAACTTAGGGTTCCATGAAATATTGAGAAATTCTTGTTTAGCTGAGCGACTAGCGGCTTCACAAAAAGACTCAGCTTCAAGAGGTTGCATCTGTACCATACACAGCATCGCATAGCTGAAACTTTCTACGGTCTCTACAGCCTTCACGTGAAAGTAACGCCAAGCCATGCAAGTAGCTCTACCTTCTGTACTTTTCTTAAAGAAATGAAAGCCAGCGGATTTGCTTCTTAAGTTCAAATCTGCCTTTAACGGTCTAAATCACTGGTCGTTATACTGGCTTCATTGTCTCTTTCTAAAGTTCATAAAAGTAATTACTAAAGGGAATTACGTAAGTGATCGCTATGATGTTGGCATAATGTTGAGCTTTGTGAGCGGCTTCCTGAAGCAATAAGTTCTATGAAGAAGAGAGCCGGTATAAAAGAATATTCCGAGGTTTGTAATATTGACGGGGTATCTTAAAGATTCTACCAATCTTTTTGTTCGCTTGGTTTAGCGCTCAGTGGAATGATAAATCGTTCTTAAAGGAAAAAAGAAAGCTTACGTTTTATTAGAATAGAAAACTTTCCACCTCCCCTTTTTCTTTTCCTACAATATAACTCGTATATTGCTACTTGAGATAGGTCAGAATCCTTCACTTATGGATTTGAGAGATCTCTTCTTCCGAGTCACTGATTTCTTGAAAGTGCATGGATGGCAAACATTCCTAGAAGTTTTCTCTTGTAACTAATTAGCAATTATAAATGACAGGAAAT